CTAAATCCAAAAACATCGAGTGGTTGAAGTTTTCCAGTTGTCGCTTGAGGTATAATCATTACCTTCACATCCTTATTGCGTGTTTTGGTAGCTTGCACGACTGGAGAACAGTGTCCGGTCCATGAATCCACCAATAATAGACTTTGCGAGCCAACATTCGAAATAGTATATTTCTAACCTAGGGAGGGAAAATAAAGGATCCTCAGCCGCCAGTGCAATTACCAGCCGAGCCGAAGGCGAGGTTGGTAAGCACGCGGCTGACGGTCCTTTATTTTACTTCCCGTGGTTAGAACGCGATTTTCCGTCTCGGCGTAGGCGCAAAGTCAGAGTTCCCTTCCGCGAAGCGGGAGGGAAATGTAACTTTGCGCCCGCCGGGACGGAAAAAGACATATTGCAACCAAGTTTTGAAATGTTCTGAACAAGATCATAGAATAAATACACGTCACCATTGGAGCGACGCCATAATTACCGATAAATGACAAACGAAGTATTAGACGAATGAACACAGTCTCATACCTGAAGTCAATTTCCCAGATTTGGATACATCTACGTATACATTATCAGGACGAAACAGTTTCTCCTCTATTCTGGGACCGAAATGACCCCTTGGTTCTTTCAAAACTCAAAGGAGTGGAGAGAGGAGTTTCCCTTTGGCTGATATAATTGATTGAATAGTATAACTATGTGTCGTCGATGTTAGCGATTGTACGACACATTGTATTTGTTTTTCACCTTCTTCAGCCAAAGTTCTCCCTGAATGCATTTCAAACTGAAAGCCGCTCTGATCAGCATTATATATATTTGATCAACCGTAAATTGCAATCCGTTGTTTCACATCCTGAATAAATTGTTCCAATTTTTCCTCCAGAACAAATTCATTGATTTTTCTCGAGACAATACGATGTGCTTTTTTAAATGCTCGTATCCACTTGTCGGATGCTTTGAAGCGGAAATCCTTACTACCTATATCTTTTTGGGCTTGTAATGCCCATCTCCGTAAGTCACAATCGTGTATGATCATTCCAGTCTCGACAGCAGATTTGAAATTTTATAGTGTATGTTTACAAATCCGATCAAGTTTATCTTTTTAGCCTCCCCCTATTCATATTATGTGCCCACCGTCTCAACTGCTGTATTAAAGTTTGTGACGATCTTCAAACTCAAAAACACCAAAATGACTTTAATTTTCTCTAACTATCGCCACAAACTATCTCAAGTCTTTTTAAAATAACCCAACGTGAAATATTACCCAAAAGGCGCCAGTCTATTTTAATTATTTTTACACCTTGGCCAAATAGACGAATGGCATACCCAATGTTTCTCTCAACACTAAAAACTACTCAAAACATTCTCAATAAATCTCCAACCCGGACTCTTTATTACAACGGGGAGGGAGGACGATACTTCCTTAATCGGGATTCGGATTCTTGAAAATTAATTACAACGCGACACAATACATATCTTAAAAGATCAAATGTATTCTTAATACTCACAACAATTGAAATCAATAATTTCGAAAAGAAATATAAGAATTTCTACACCATGAAAATAAATCTGGATGGACCCTTGGTCCCAACCAGTGCGAAAGATAGAAATTAATTAAATCAATCTCGTCTCTATAGTATAGAAAATGATTTACTGAAACTCTCCGGTTTCCCAAAATCCACTCAATTAAATTATTATATATTCAAAACAATACTCAGTAGGTTAGAGGCTGCAGCCTCGACCTTGAAACTTGAATAATGCTCAAAACTACAACTTATCTCGATTCATCCAGTCCAGGGCCCCAGAATCCACTCTAGCTGCTCCAGACCGTCGAGATCTCCAAAACGACTAAAAACTCGACTTTACTCTACTCAACTCAACTCCAACTATCTGCTATGCAGATTTCTCTACGACTTTAAACTGTTACTCGACTCTATATATATATGCTACGCAGATTTCTCTACTACACAAAACTGCTGCTCTATGTACTCTACGATATCTCGGGGAGAACTCACGCCACGCGGTCATTCGCCAAAAATCTTACTTAATCAGAGGGCCTACCCCCTCCCTAATAACTTCAAACTAATCAAATCAAATCCTCAACTAAATGCCACCTGAACTGGATAATCGTTACAATATTTAATTTAGTTTTGACTCAAATTCTCAATATCAAAATTTCTCTAAATTTATCGACGTTGTGGGTTTTTCCTTACGATGTTTCGTTCCCCTGGAGATCATTTTCCCGGTTCGTCTAGGCTCTTCCTTGATTCCGGGATTTTCCATATTTCCAATTAGAGGTAGGTGGTAAAGGATTGGACGGTATTTATTATGACAAAATCATTTCCCTTTACCTTATTAAATTACGAAACTCAATCTCTTCTTCATTTATCACTCCATAGATTAACAACAACCGGAAGGACTACAAAGAGTTTCTGGAACTCGTCATTATATTCTTGAGCGGGAATCTTCCGGATGGTAATCGTTTCAGAGCGTCTTGGCCCCATTCATCATGCGAGGTGGATGGCGAAAGCGATTTATTCGCTAAAAAATTTTCTATTCAGAGACCAATTTCGATTGACGTCCCATGAGACATCAAGTTTGAGAAAAATTTGTATTCGAAAGAAAATTTTATTGTTCTTCTGTACCAGAAGAGCTGGTTCACATCTTCTAATGCAATTGAAGCTCCCAACAATGACTTGCAATTATTGAAAAAGTTGACTACGGATAATTCAGCATTGTCAGGAGTTTATGATGCTGTATTTGATAAATTTGCAAACCATCTCTGGTACTTATCAGAAGAACTCATCGCTTTGGCATTCTTCGACGACAATGTCAATATAGATATGAAAAGGAGAATGTGCGATGCTATCAAATCTCGCTCTCCATTTCAAGATGATCGGAAGAGGAGAAAATCAGGAGTTAAGGGTCGAAAATTCAACCAAGAGTTGAGTCTAGGTCAATTTGTGACCCAAACACAATTAAATTCTTCGAAATCTTGAATCTAGACCACACTTTTTTGGATATCGATCCAATGAAGTGGGGAGAAAGAGAAGATTATGGGAATGCTTTAAAAACTGTGAGATCTCTCCTAGTGACAAACGACGTAGCTGAGAGAAGCGTATCTCTCGTGAGCGAATATAATGATTTGCTCACGAAAGATGAAAACTCTAAACAAGATCCAATGCTCGTGGTCAGGAAATTGCGGGCATTGACAACTGGCTGCACCAGGGAGGAATTACAGTTTTCATTAGAGAACTACCTGAAAAACAGCGTAATGAAAAATTAATATTGACCTGAGCAATCTCGGTTCATGTCGATTTCAGTATACTTCAAGTTTTTGAACAATATCTCGAAATCTAAAAGAAATCACGTAATTTTCGTAGATATCTTTCTTTTAGACCTTGCTCCGCTCTACAAAAAAGGTTTGTTTGGTGAATGTCTAGGGTTAGGGTGGATGTGGGATGAAAATGTGGAGGGAGATGTTGGGAAAATTATTTTAGGCGACCTCTTTGGTTTTTAATTGTTGAATGTCTAATTAAATTGATGATTGTCTTTCACTGTTAATTAGTTGAGTCACTGAATTTAGACTGAGATTAATCAACAAGTTGATGTACTGAACAAAATATTAAATTTAGAATACTGATTGACTGAATACACTAGATCATTATCGTGACGATACTTGAACACTACTGATGACTGACTCTTCCGGGTGCCGTGCTGACCTGTGTCCGTTGACCCGAAGGGTCACGGAGATTTTCGGAGATGGCCGAGTTAGTCGACCGTGACTAATATGGAGATTTTAAGCTGCATTTCGAACACCCCGGGGGCAATTCATCATCAGGGATAATGAATTAATGGTGATTCTAATCCTGTTGAGCTTCTTCTGCATCATCGTCTGGAGGTTGCTCTGGAGGTGGTAAATCTGATGGCAGTAGGCAAAGCTTGGTGATTGGTCTGTCAAGCTCTGTGTAGATTGTTCTGATGTTTTCTATGATTGGTGATCCATCTGCCTGCCTTGGTACTTCTGCTTTTGCGGTTCTTATAGTTGCGACTCTTGTTAGCCCATCTGCTCCTGGGCGTGTCGCAATGACTCGTCCGATTGGCCATTGTGCTGGTGGATAATTTTCGTCGATCATCAGCACCATGTCGCCAACCTTGATGTTCTCTTCTCGATGTGTCCACTTATAGATTGCCTGATATCGTTGAAGACACTCTTTGGCCTATCTGGACCAGAATTGTTGAGTTAGCTACATTACCAGGTTCCATCTCTGCAGTTTGCTGGGATTCTTGTCGATGATTGATGGCTCGGGAATCAGTTGAAGAGGCTCACCTATCAGGAAGTGTCCTGGGGTGAGTACTTGGAGGTCGTCTGGGTCATCTGACATGGGACAGATTGGCCGGGAATTTAGGCAGGCCTCTATCTGGATCACGACACTGTTGAGTTCCTCAAATATGAGTGTTCTTGTCCCCAAGACTCATCTAAGGTGATACTTTGTTGATTTCACAGCTGCTTCCCACTTGCCACCAAAATAGGGTACTCGTGGTGGTGAAAAGCTCCATTGAGTCCGATTGATGGCGAGAGCAGCCTGAACCTGCTGATTTTCTCTGGATGCTCGGTGATAGATCTTCTCTAGGACCTCGGCTGCGCCTACGAAGGTAGTGGCATTGTCACTGTACATGACAGCTGGAATACCCCGCCTTCCGGTGAATCTCTTGTAGGCTCCGATGAAGGCGTCCGTTGTCTGTCTGGTGACTAGCTCTAGGTGAACTGCTGATGTGGTGAACCACACAAAAACTGCAATGTCCACTGACCATGGTTGTGCATTCGTTGGTCTCCATTTGAGGATGGCGAATGGTCCTGCATAGTCTACCCCTGTGTGGAGAAATGCTCTTGCTGGTGAGATTCTCGCTGCTGGTAGTTGACCCATCTGTTGCTGGGCCTGTCTTGATCGGTGTCTGGTGCAGATGGTACAGCGTTGAATATATGCTCTAACTGTGCCTCTGCCGCCGATTATCTAGTACCTTTGACGTGTGTAGGCCAAGGTGAGTTGAGTTCCTCCGTGGAGTGTTTTGCGGTGAGCTTCTTTGATGACTAGTGTGGTGAGGCGTGACTGGCGAGGCAAGATTATTGGGTGAATTTCATCTGGATTTAACTGCGAGTTCTTGGGGCGTCCCCCAAGTCTCATGATCCTTTCGTTGTCTAGTGTGGGTGTCAGCTTAGCTAGTTGATGATTTCTCGGTAGTTGGTGATTTTTCTGGAGTACTCCAATGGCTGGCCCAAAGTACTGATGTTGGGTTATCTTTACCCAAAATAACCTCGCGTGGTTGAGTTCTCTTGTTGTCAAGACAGGTCCCGGGGGCATTGGCTGCCTCCTGAATATGTCGATAGCTCTGTTGACCGTAGCTGTTACGGCTAGCAATTTAGCCATCGTCTGATACCTGTTGAGTAGCTCTGCAATTTCGTTGATTTTAATTGCAACTGGATGTGCTGGTTTTGCTTCTCTGGCCACCTCTGGGATGTCCATGGCTGGAACGCCGATTGCTGATTGTGGCCATTCTTCAGGATCCTGATTGATCCATTCAGGTCCTGACCACCACAGTTGATGATCTGCTAGCTGGCTCGGTGATATGCCTCTGGAGGCGCAAACAGCTGGATTCTCCTTTCCACTGACATGTCTCCAGGTGGCATTCGGGAAAGTTTCCTGGATCTTGACGACCCTGTTGTGGACGAAGTCCTTCCATCTTGATGCGTGGCTCCTAATCCAAGCTAGTGCTACTGAAGAATCAGACCAGAGATAGGTGTCTACCTGGTCTAGTTGGAGCATTTGCTCCGTTGATGCCACTAGCTGAGTTAGTAGAAGAGCCGCTGTGAGCTCTAGACGAGGGATGGTCATGCGCTTGAGTGGTGCTACCTTCGTCTTCGCGCATGCCAGCACTGTTGATGTCGAGTCGTTGATGGTTTTGGCGCGAATATACACCACTGCACTCATGGCTACCGTTGAAGCGTCTGCAAATCCATGAATGTGGATGTTGAGTGTCTCTGTTGAAATTCTCAGCCATCTGGGTACAGTTACTCTATCTAGGTCCTTGAGATTCTCTCGGAATGTCTTCCAGCGTTGAACATACTCGTCTGGAAGAGGATCATCCCATTTTAATTTCAATCTCCAAAGATCTTGTAGGAGAATCTTTCCCTGGACGACAACTGGTGCGATAAATCCCAGTGGATCAAAGATCTGGGCTATTTCAGAAGAGACTACTCTCTTGGTGATTGTCCTCGTATTGAAGTCCTTTGATTTGCACCAGAATGTGTCGGTGGATTGATGCCAACACAATCCAGGTACCTTGGTGACTGACTCCTCGAACTGGATAATTTCTTCTTCAGTTAAAAGGCCTAACTCATGCAGAGGCTCTGGACAATTGCTGCTCCACTTCTGTAGAGAGAAGCCTCCTGCATGGCAAAGCCCTTGTAGTTGCGTTGCGATCTCCTTGAGACCGTCTTCTGTCTCTGCACCGCCGTAAATGTCGTCAACGTAACGACCTCTGGTGAGTGTCTCTACTGCTGCTGGGAAGCGGTGCCCTTCATCTTCTGCTAGTTGTTGAAGAACACGTAACGACAACCATGGAGAACAATTTAGTCCATAGGTGACTGTCGTTAACTGGTAGGTGACTGGTTGTTGATTCTCGTCGATCCGCAGGATTCTCTGAAGATCCCAGTCATCTTGGTGAACTCGTATCTGACGGAACATCTTGACAATATCCGTGCCAAACACGAGCCTGTGCCTCCTCATTCACGTCAGAATAACCATGGCATCGTTCTGTAATTTTTCACCAGAATACAGTATATCGTTAAGGGACATACCTGATGAACTGGGGCTGGAGCCGTTGAATACGACTCTTAGCTTCGTTGTGATGGCCTCCTCTCTCAGTACCCCGTGATGTGGCAGATAGCAGGCTGGCACGGGTTCTGCTGTCTCTGGTGCTATTCTCACGTGCTCCAGTGCTGCGTACTCGTTGATGAACTCTCTGTACAACTGGGAGTATGCTTGATCTGTGTTGAGTCGACTCACGATCGATTTGAGTTGACGTGCTGCTTTGAATTTCGATTCTCCGAGCGCTGCTGCTGAAGTTTTGAGGGGCAGTCTCACGATGTATCGCCCGGTGTTGTCTCTGCTATGAGTTGCTCTAAAGTGCATCTCGCACTCGTGCTCATCTGGTGAAAGCTCTGATGTTGATGATCTTTCGTTTGGCAGTTCTTCCTGGGCCCAAAATTTCTGGAGAATCTCTAGAAGTTGTTCATTCGAAGATTCTCGTACAGGTGATAGAGATACGTTTATTGAACAATTTGTGCATTTGATTGGTCCGGATACTATCCAACCGAATACTGTGCGTTGGCCAACTATTCTCGATTGCTCTGACTTCACAACTTCATCCATGATGATCCGCCCATGGTTGTCAGCCCCTATGTCGATTGGTCCAGGCCTTAGATAATGGGGATCGGCTAGCTGAAGATTCTGAAGTGAGCCGATCCTCGCTGATGAGCATGAAAATGACGGAATTATTGCGGTGAGCTTCTTTAGAATGTGGGCGTTGAGTTGCAGTTGATAAGTCCCGTGGCTCGCTTGTAGAGTGACTGAGACTATTCCTCTGGTGTGTCCTGAATTAATTGCACCAATTTCCACTAGCTCCACTGTTGATGCTCTTCTCTGTAAATGCAGTTGATTAACTAATTGTTCGGAGATAAACCATACCTCTGAACCCTGGTCGATAAGTGCTCTGGCTTGTGTCGTGAATCCTCTCGGTGATATTACTTTTACTCGCGCTTTTGCCAACAGCACTGACTGTTGATCTGCTTCTCCTTGGTGAATTTCGTAGTTGATGTTCTCTGCTTTCTCATTGATCATTTTGTTGTTGAAGTTCACTGCTACTGGTGGTGATGTACTGGATTCTAGTGTTGAGGAATGATCAATGAGATGGTGAGTGTGCTATTGAGGTTGAATTCATTCACTCACTGTTCCCGTGATCCCCTTGCTGCCTGGACGATCCGGCAGTCGGGATGGGTTCGGCTGGTGTGCGTCGGGCTGGAGGCGGGCTCATCGTCCATGAGCTCCCTGCATGGATGAGAGTGTGGTGATACCTGCTGCATTTGTGGCACTTCTTGTCCGACGTGCACTTGGCCTTCGTGTGTGGCCCTAAGCAGTTGAAGCACAACCCCTTGGTGATAACGACTTCGTTTCTCTTATCTGGGGTGAGCTCAATGAACCTCTGGCAAGATGCGATTAAATGTTTATCCTGACAGTAGGCACAGCAGTTCCTGGGAAGTAGCCTTTCTGGCTCCTTATTTTCCTGCTGGTGAGTTGCTGCTGTATAGGTGCTACTTTTCTTTGTTGGAGCTGACTTCTTCGTGGCTGCGTTGATTTCCTTCGTCGATAACAGCTTGGCACCTGCGTTGATCCCTCTGCCGCAGGCCTCGATAAATCCGACCGCTAAACTTTGGTGAGTCGCCTGTTGCGTGGCGTACGTGGCCAAGCGTTGGTGGGCTTCGGCGATACTCGTCACTCCCGATTCTTTCCGATCTCCGACACTGATGCACTCACTGTGTCCTTTGTTACCCCGTCGCCCTTGCGGGTGTAAACAAAGCGAATGTTCTAGAACTTTCCGTTGAATTGCCCGTGCGAACCCCGAAACTTTATTCGACACGAGGCGTCCCTTAGATTTTCCACAGCACTTTACACACTTTTTCACCCACAATCCGGCTCGAAGGACCACTGTTTGGTGAATATCTAGGGTTAGAGTGGATGTGGGATGAAAATGTGGAGGTAGATGTTGGGAAAATTATTTTAGGCGGATTATAAACATTCACACTATATTTATGTGGGATCGAACCACTTGTCAAAATTATTACACTCTTTGGTTTTTAATTGTTGAATGTCTACTTAAATTGATGATTGTCTCTCACTGTTAATTAGTTAAGTCATTGAATTTAGACTGAGATTAATCAACAAGTTGATGTACTGAACAAAATATTAAATTTAGAATACTGATTGACTGAATAGATCATTATAGTGACGATACTTGGACACTACTGATGACTGACTCTTCCGGGTACCGCACTGACTTGTGTCCGTTGACTCGAAGGGTCACGGAGATTTTCGGAGATGGCCGAGTTAGTCGACCGTGACTAATATGGAGATTTTAAGCTGCATTTCGAACAAGGTTATTATAAAAACTTCAATATAGCCAATAGATTCCGAGATTATTGTATGAAAACTCAACAGGAATCTAAGTAGACTTGGGCCGATTGACCACTTCGCTAAATTTTTCTCCGAGATTCTCTTCTCAATTAACTATACATATTCGATACCCATTGAAAAGCTCATTAAAAGAGCCTCTGAACAGCGCTTAACATATTTAATTTCCATGATGATTCATTAGGTAACAAGAGTTCGAATAATTTGATTTTATTTGTGGGGAAATATCATCTATCTATTACAAGTGCTTTACAATTTCTATTGCATTTTTGTTGTTATGTGTAATGTTATGAATTTTCCACTATATAGAGGAGAATTGAAGTTAAATTGAAAGTATTTTTTTCGAATAATGAACGAATACCTTTAAATTTGATGCCTCTTATTGCATTCCAATAGAATACTATTTAAAACAAGCAGGGGTTCGAGCTTTTTTGGCCGAAGCCATCTGACCGTTACTTTAAGTGTTATAACTCTTTTCCTTTGTTTCATTTCTACCAATTCCATTGGTAGTAAGCTTCCGAATGGATCTCTAGTAATTCTATTAAAGAAAGAAAAAAAGGAAACTCCAAACCTGCTCAGATTAGATATCAACAATGTCAGTGGAAATACCTGCCTGCTGATGAAAAAACAGACAAACGGAAATATCTCAAAAACTTTGTATGAACGGTTATATATGTTTTGATTGACTCGGATTCAAGGCATCGAAACAAATATTTTGAGGAAAAAAAATTGAAATCGACTGCCTAGTTTTTAAGCTATTGCACATACAAGGTTTTCAGAGAAAGTCGAATATCTCGGAAGCTACCCATGCGATTGAGCTTATTTTCAATAAGAAGAATTGTTATCATGAGAGCAAGATTCTTTCCAAATTTCAAGTTGGTATCTCAATTTTTCCACAAGCTAGAGTGATTACAAGGATTGTTATGAAAAAAACGGAAAAACGGAAATATCTCGAAAACTTTGTATGAACGGCCGTATATGTTTTGATTGATTCTAATAGAAGGCATCAAAGCAAATATTTTGAAAAAATTGAAATCGGTTGCGTAGTTTTTAAGATATTGCACATAAAAGGTTTTCAGAGAAAGTCAAATATCTCGGAAACTACTCATGCAATTGAGCTTATTTTTAATAGGAAGGATTATTATCACGAGAGGAAGATTCTGTCCAAATTTCAAGTTGATATCTCAATTTTTGTGCAAGCTAGAGTAATTACAGGGATTTTTATGAGAAAACAGAAAAACGGAAATATCTCGAAACCTTTGTATGAACGGGTGTATGTATGTTGATTGATTCGGATAGAAGGCATCGAAACGACTATTTTGAAAAAAAAATTGAAATCGGTTGACTAGCTTCGAAAATATTAGCGACAAACGATTTAAAAACGAATAGCTTTTTCTCAAAAACTATTTGATTAATCGGGCTGAACGTTTGCACCGAATTAGTCCTTGTTAAGGTCTATAATCTGACAAAATTTCAGATTTTTTGGAATGAGTTTAGCCAAGTAATTACTCAATTTTCCAAAAATTGACCACCGAAAAGGTGGCGATGGACATTGTCACCGACAGACATGGTCGCCAAACTTCGTATTTTTACGTTTCAGACCATTCTATATTATTTCCAATCAAAATTAAAAAATGTGAAAACAGCACGATTACAATGCTTCCATTCGGAAGTGAAAAAAACCATTGGAAACTAATATTAATAGTATTAAATATCAACGATACATGAAAATGATATTAATGGCATGGTACTGTTTAGAATTAAGCTATTTCTTCTATTCAAATTTTGTTGAAATTGCTGTAAATTGATCGATTCAACCATGTAAATTTTGAAATAAAAAAATTTGTAACTATAACATTTTTATGTAAGAAATAAAAACATGTACATTCAGCAGACCCGCGCGTTGAAAGTTCGGTCCCTTCCTTAAAAGGGTCAGTACCTCAGGTACAATGTTTTTGCCTGGGTTCAATGTCAGTTTATACGACCGTTGTGAAAGCACCGGATAAGCCGGACACCTGTCCTTGGACGAAAATTTATCAAGTTTCTTTAGCATTCTACTGGGCATTGGATTTATTGTAATTTTGTGTTTCCTTCCCAAACGATTTTCAAATAGTTTATTGATCATTCTAACAAATCTAGGCGAATAATGGACGCTCCGTAGGGCTCGTAGAGGCGCTGAAGATCTCTAAATCTCGCATAAATCCGGATTTTTATTTCAATAACAAATAGCTATTTTGCAGAGAAAATTTTTTTTTATGTATTTCTTACCTCCCTTTCAGAAAGTGTACAACAGGTGATAGCGATAAATTCAGTAATTGAGTATTAAAAAAATTATTATCACATTCTCTCTGTGAAAACGTGTAAAAGTGCATAGGAAATTGAACTGCTATGCGCCAGTACAAAAATAATTTTAAAAATTTGAAAAAAATTTTATGGGTACATCATTATTTTCCTTAACATATTCAGAATAAAAAGAATCGAAATTCAATTTTTTCAACGTTTGAGCCATCCTAATGTACATTCATCTGTATACATGAAGTATACACATTTTTTGTCACTCAGTTCGTAAGGCGACGCTTTATAGCCGCTGCGCGGCCATAAAACCCTCCATATGGACTGAATAACATAAAATTTTGTTCGTTACTCGATCGAAAACGGATTTTCTGGCGAGTCTGTTTGCAACCCTTGGCTTCGCTTCGGTCTTACCGCAAACTTACACTCGCCAGAAAATTTATTGACGGCTTTGTGACATAATGTACTATATCAATATTCACAAAGTTACAAATGAAATATACATTTTAAATTTTGAATACTTGAATGGATACTTTATTCGTAAAAACGATTACATCATTTTACAAAAACAAAACATAATGTAATTCTAGTTCTTGAAACAATAAACACAGCCCTTGAAAAGCGGACGAAAGAAACATAAAATTAAGTTCTTCAAGCTTAGCCCCCAACATCTCCTTACACTCAAAAACCTCGCCCACAACTTCGTCGTATCTGTCAGCAACTCCTGACTATACTCCTCATCAAATGCTGTAATGGATACGTACAAACGTAGTTCGACTTCATCCAAGTGATTCGAACTTTATCCGACAGGCCATACCGAACATGAAATATTTCTCAGTGCACCTTGATACTCAGGAGCTTATGCTTCAGCCCCCCCACCATCTCCAACAGATTAGACGGAGAACAGGTGGAACCTAGCTAGCGTCGATTTGAGTTTTTTCAAAACTTCACTGAAACGATTCTTCAGAGGTCTGACGTTTCGGAAGAGCCCCGGAGATGATGGACTTGAGATTGGCAAATCATCTCCGAGTGCTGGAATAGGCGATCGATAAAAATCCTAGTTCCTAAATTATCTTTTTGTTTCAGAGGGTTCAAAGTGTGCATCAACTTTCCTCCATCACTATTTCCGTTTCGAGTAGTGTGTATGATGAAAAAATGAATGAGAAAAAAAACACGTTCTAGGGAAACGGTCAGAGTCATCACCACTTTGTGTGATGATTCTTTATAGATCTCAGTCAGCTTTCAATATATCTCCTCTGAGTTATCATTCTGACTACTTCCGTATTCAAGTGAATCGATTTTTCTTGGCATTTATATCTCCACTCCTTCAAGTTCACCTGAGCGATGGACGTGCCTATTTAGGCGCAAAATTTATCCCAACACAAAGGTTGGCACAAGCGTAGGGCTCCCATGTCCTTGGGGAAGTTGGAGGAATTGGAGGAGTGGGGGTTAAAATGGGACATTCCATGTCAACTCAGCCACACCGGATTTTTTTTTGTCTGGGAAAAATCATTGAGTAGATCTATTTTGAACTACTACATATAGACAGTGATCATGCAAAATTTCATTGCCCTGCCACTTTTTGTTTCTGAGATAATCATTATAAAACTTGAAATTTTCAAAAAATCATTACTTCTGAATGGAGTATCTGATTTTGATAAATAAAAGGAGAAAATTTTAGTTTTTTCTCGTACTTCAAGATAAAAAATACTTCAGAGCCATCAAGAAGCTCCTAGACCCGTTTTTCGAGAATTTTTCGCGTTTTCATTTTTTTTTCACTCTAGGGCCGCTCGATATTCGATCGAAATACTTTTTGTACGATAGAGGATATTCTTATATGATATGAAAAAAATACGCCATAATGGAAGAGCGGAGCAATGCACCGGAAAAAAAATTTTTTTTTCGAAATTTTTAGGTTTTTCAGTTTTTAGGGGAGATGCATCGGTTTTTTCAAAATAAATGAGTCTGTCAACCATTATTCTTCGTTCATATATGATGACATAAGACTACACCATCATGTAACGGAGAAAGAGTGCGCCGAAAAAAAAATTTTCGTCGAAATTTTTACTGGAAAGGTA